ACGTCTGACTGTCTTGCCAGAGGAGTATCCATCAGATGGTAAGCAACCGGGAGTGTGAGTATAAGCACTGGATGGGGCTCCCCTTTTCAGGAGCCGTAGCCATCATGTGGCCAACACATGCTAAGGTTTTCATTCCTTGCTTAGCACATCGTAAGCTAATAAGCTAAGTTTATGTTGCTGGGCTCTGGAGGCAAACAGAGCATGAAGGGGCAAGTACCATGTCCCCAGGGGGCAATGGTTTCGCCGCTGTTGTGGTACTAATATCCGAACCGAGGATGAAAACACGTGGTACTGGAATGCCCAGCCTATGATGATATTCGTGCTGAAGAGGGATTCGATCATCAACAGAGCATGTTGGAGGTCATGAAATGGGAACCAGCACGTCTGGTGAGGATCTTAGAATGTATGTGGGCTCACCAAAACTAAAGTCCCTTCAGTTACCCCTTTTGGAAGCTAAGTCTGGGCTGATGTGCGGTGTTTCCTGTTCCTGTTGAAGTATTGTCCTTGGGCCTTCGGCTCGTATGGGTAGTTTTACAGGTATGGGGTCACACACCCCCAACCATGTAACACACGCACACACAACCTTCATTCTACAACACTCCCATCAGGCAGACCTCTAGGGGCTGAAACTTCAAAAAACCTCCTCAACGCAGACCCATCACCTGGATGCACTTCTTGAACTGTGGAAGTGGCAACGGCTTGGTCAGACAATCAGCGACCATGTCTTACTTGCAGTAAGAAAACACAATCTCACCCCACGCTACACGCTCACGAACAAAATGATGAAGCACGTCAATGTGCTTCAGCAGACGAAATCGGATTGCCGCCTGGTTATTGCACAAGATAGGTACCGATGACACGCATCTTGTTATTGTTGTTGTTGTTACAAGGTCGTGGGTGTGTTCCCTGTACCTGCAAACCACCCTAATACGAGCCGAGGGCTCACGCATCTGTAAATCACGTGCCAAGTGACGGTACCACAAAGCCTCCTTGGTCGCCACTCCACTCGCCATATACTCTGCCTCCGCGGTTGACGTTGCCACTATAGGCTGCAAACGACTTGACCAGCTAACAGCTCCACCAGCATTCAAAAACACGTTGCCGGTGGTAGAACGACGTGTATCGACGCATGCTGCATAGTCCGAGTCACAATACCCATACAGAGATGGATTACTCGATTTCGAAAAGACGATACCTAGATCAGCCGTACCAGCAATGTAACGAACAACCCCCTTTGCCGCCTGCCAATGCTCCACCGTGGGCTTGGACGTGTGACGGGCTAGGGCTCCCACAGAGTATGCAATATTGGGCCTCGTGCCCACCGATAAATACAGCAGACTGCCAATAAGCTCTCCATACCGGAACTGCTGTACATCAAGTGGTTGACCGGCTGAACGCAAAGTAGTGCCGTGCGACAAAGGCACAGCACGCCCATTGACATCTTCCAGCCCGTACTTCTCTACTAGCCCCTTGGCGTACCTCTTCTGTGATACCTTCATCGTACGCTCAGGCCAATTACGCTCAACCTCAAAGCCCTAAAACACACGGGCCTCCCCTAAGTCACGCACACCAAAGATAGACTTCAACTTCTCTTTCAACTGGCGCACGATATTAAGATCTTTCGCGGCAATGAGGAGGTCATCCACACAGACCAGCAAATACACGCGCTCCCCTAGAAGATCACAGTAGAGCAATCCCGGGTCAGCTTGAGACACGGTAAAATTCATAGCTTCTGACTCCGACCTCAGTCACGCGTACCATGCACGGGGGGCCAGTTTCACCCCCGTACAGTGCCTTCTCCAACTTGCACGCTAAATAAGGTTCGCCCTTAACATAGCCAGGTGGCTGCTGCTAGATATAGACCGTTTCTTCCAGCTCACCATTCAGAAAAGCGGTCTTGACATCTAACTGGTGCAACTCAAGAAAGATCACGAGCCGCAACCACCAACAGCAATGCACGCAACGTAGTATGCTTGCTGGCTGGTGCCCAGACTTCCTCATAGCCCCGGCCCTCCGCTTGTGCAAACCTCTTCCCAACCAAGCGCGCCTTGTACCGCACGATCATGAATGACGTTGTGGTATCTAAGCGCTGGATCAAAAGGGTTGAACGGGTGAATAATTGCATGTTGAGGTCACCTTAGGGAGGTAAGCTGGAAAAGCGAGTCATTTCGGAGGGGGGGAAGTATTTAGGTTGGGCTGTTGTGGGTGAGGACAACTGCTGCGGTACCTTGACGGTCGTAGTGACTAGTGACTAGAAGATGGGACCTGAAACCTTAAAAATTTTCCTACGAATAAGGCAGCATTACAATCCAGCCAATCGAATACTGATAATAGCTGTAGACAGTTGAACTTTTATCGCCATTGTATGTCTTTCGCGACATGTAGCCATGGTAGCAAGTCACGCCATCAACGCGCGGTATGAATGCCAACGCGACACAGATGAGCAAGCTCGCGTTCGCAATCCCCTCACCTCACCCCCCCTCGTTCCGCCGCCGTACCGAGTGCAGCTTCCCGCCATCCGTCATCCCGCCGTACCGTTATCCGAGACCAAAGCGGCCAAACATTTAATTGAAGTCCAAGGACTGCGTTAAGCAAGTTTTGACCATATTCGCAGGGCATCAAGACCGGGCCCAAAATAATACAAGTAAAAGCAAACACGCAAAGCGGCCGCAACCACAGCAAGGTTTCGTGCTACCCGGCACGGCAACGTGTCAAACGCAATTCATGGGGTCAAATGTACAGCAGTACGGTATTGTACGAGCGTATGGCTCTATTCCTTGCGCAAGGGCCCTATACGAGATCGATCCTCTTCAATCATATCGCTGCTTGGCGCCCTCTCCTCTCCAGTCGTTAGCCTTCAGCAAACGAACAAAACGAACAACTTAGGATCGGAACGCAAAATCCACTTCACAGCAGCGCCGTGCTCATCCCAACGATTTTTCCTCCCTCCTCCCCTTCCTCCTCCTCCGCCGCCGCACACCTTCAGTTTGGCTTGTTGCCTCCTCTCATCACCTCCCTGATAATGTACCTCTCGCCGTCGTGTTACGCCGCAGCCCCAGACAACCAACCGCGGGTGAGGGTATTGGTAATGGTGGCGGTGATAGGGTGGTGGTGACGCGAGGGGGGAGGAGGGGAGAGTGAAACAGCACTCCATCCATAACATAAAAGTAAAGGCGGTACGATGATACGGTGGGCGGAGTAGAAGGGCCCGTATCGCTCTGAAAACCGCCCCTCCCTAAGCTTCCACGAGTCCACTACCACCACCACCGGCAGCAGCAGCAGTAGCAGCTGCTCCCTCCCCACAGCCAGCATCAGCACAAGAAGCGGCAGCAGCTGCAACAGTCCACAGCTAGGACAATAACGGTAATAACCGTAACAAAGCTGGGGGCTACAATTTAATTATTCGTTCTAGGAGGTACCGCAACCAGGGCGTCAAAAACGCACCATTGCTCGCGTAGGGGACATGCACAAGGCCCTCCCACCGGCCCACATGCCACATTACCGGCATCTTAAAGCCAGCAGCGTATTTTAGCTTTTTCGTTTATCTTTTTGGCTATATATATTGCACCGAAAAAGCGTTACGTGCACCTCCCTCACCATCCCACCCTCGCCAACGGGTTAGTTAGGGTGGCATATGAGTTGGGGAGGCGTTTTTGCAATTCATTCTTGTGCCATACAGCTCTCAACGGATTGCAACCGGAAAGCCGTTGACCACAACGACCCACCCCTGGCAGCACAGCCCTCTCCACAAGCAGCCTTGTGACCCCCCGTCGTCACCCTAAGACCGCCACAACAGCCGCTAGAAGGCGGCCTCTCTGTTTGCGTTGGCGTATCGAGACGTAGCACATACACCCACCCCACTCCACATCACGGTGCGTTTCAAAAAATTACCTTCCTGTTAGGCAAACACTCATACTCATGCACACGCTTCATAGCAAGCTCGGTTGTTGACCGAGCTGGCAATGATCCATGAGGAGCGAGTGAACGGCGTGAAAAGGGATCTTGGCCATCAGGTATTCGCGATGACCGTGGTGGTGATTATTCTATAGGGCGGCTGTTGACAGACGTGGCAGAGTGGCGCGAGCAGCAAGAGAGGCAGCGGGGTGGGAAGAAGCCAGCAAGCTCATCGACGTACGTACGTCCCTTCTCCTCACCACCATTCGTTCACGAGCCTGCTCAAGGCAAACCCCGCGCGTGGCTCTCCCATCCCCCGCCTCGCTAGCCAGCTAACTTCTTCTTGTAGCTTTACACTTTGTTTTTCCTGCGTCCACGCATCCTCCGCGAACCCGCGCAGCGCTCTCCTCCGCGCCACCCCGAAGCAAACCCACATCCATGCACCCATCCCCCTCCTTAGGTCGCACCCATCCATCCATCCATCCATCCCAGCGCCATTCACTATGCCGATCTATCCATCAATCCATCCAACGTATATTGCCACCGAGAAGGGACCGCAGCTGCCCCTAATACCCCAGTGCCATGTTCTGCATGTGCTGCAACGGCCTTGCTGTCCACCCACCCAACCACCCACGGATACCCCCTAAACCGCATCTGCATCCGCGCGCCGTACCACCACATCCGTACCACTTACTGCTTGCGCTCATGCCGCTGTCGCCACGCCGCCACTGCTCCGGCGCCGTCGATGCTGATGCAGCCCTAGCACCTGTAATGTATATATATCACACTCACATACGTTTTCGCCACCAACTAGTCACATAAAAACGCAGAAGACACGCAGCAGACAGTGAGGACCAAACTCCGGACGAATACGCAACGCCGCCCATAGGCCGTCAACCCCGCCACACACAGACGTCACACCGTCTTTTCAACGACTCCAGCAGCCGAACCGTTCCCGCGGTGCATACAGGACAGAGAGACAAACAGACAAACAAATGGACAGGCAGACTACTATACAGAGATGATACATCATCGCACAGAGAAATTCGCATTATCCGCAACAACCCGTCCGACACCGTGATTTCTCTCGGAGACTTTAGGGGGACTTAGGGGCCGACGGCCGCTGGCGAGCTCCCTCGTCGGCGCTTCGGCGGCGTCGGAATGCCTTCCTCGGCCGCCTCGAACGAAGGCCCTGGCGGGTGCTGCTCCACTTGAGCTTCATCCTTCACTGCAGGCTCCGATGCCGCAAAACCCCCGACGGTGGTCACCAGCAACCCCGTCGTCGCCATTGGAGTGGCAGCAGCTTGAGACTTAGGGTTCTTCGGCGGCCGACCGCGCTTCCGCTTGACCGCCACTGCAACCTCGACCGCCACTGCAACCTCGACCGCCACTGCAACCGCAGCCCCCGTTGCTTCCAAACCTCCTTGATGATCAACGTGCGCGCCAGCAGCCGCTGCCGGCCGCGGCTTGTGCTTGCGCGGCCGGCCACGACCGCGCTTCTGAGGCGGCGGCGGGGCTTCAACGTCTGCTTGAGACGCGGATGGGTCCCCCGCCTCCGCCTCGTTCGTCGCCTCCGCTGCCGACGTCCCCGCAGTGCCCACATCGACCCCGTCAGGTGGCGGCGGCAGCTGGCGCTTGCGCGGCCGGCCACGACCGCGCTTTGGCAATACAAGCACAGACGATGGCCCCGCCGCCTCCGTTGCTTCTACCGCTGCTGCTCTAGAATCCCCCTCCACCGTCTCCTCTACCGTATCCTTATCCACGTCGGCGCCTGATTCATCAGCTGGCCGCGGCTTTCGCTTTGGAGGCCGGCCACGGCCCCGCTTGGGAGGTACGGAAGCGGTGGATGGCGCCCCCTCTTTCCCGTTCGCCTCCGCTGCTGCCGCCGTTCCATCGGGGCCGGCATGGACGGCTTCCACTGGTGGGGGCTTGCGCTTCCGCGGCCTGCCGCGACCGCGCTTCGGTAACAAGAGCGCAGCGGATGCCCGCGCCTCCTCCACTTCCGACACGCCTTCTGCCTTTAGATCTGCCTCCGCAGCCTTGGGAAGCTGCTCGCCAGTCTCGTTCTCAACGCTTGTGGACGTCGGCGCCGCTGGAGCAGCCGACGGACCTGCTTCCACAGATTCTGGCCAAGCCGCTCCGCCCTCGCCGTTCTCCTGCTTCGGCTTGGGCGGCCGTCCGCGGCGTTTCTTCGGTGGCCGCCCACGCCCGCGCTTTTGCGGCTGACCGGCTTCCTGAGCAGCCGGCGGTGCTGCCTTCACTTCCTCCGTTACTGCATCTTCTCCTGCCTTTGCAGCACCAGCGGCACTGTCGGCTTCCTCCTCCCTCACCTCCTCCTTCGCCAGGTCGGCTTCCGCCTCGGTGCCCTCTGCTGGCTTCCTCGGCCAACGGCCTCGAATGCGCTTCCTCGGCCGGCCTCGAGGGCGCTTCAGGAGCTGTGCGGCCTCCGGAGCGGCGGACGGTGCTGCCTCCATCTTCACCCCCTCTGCTGCTGCTTCATCCCCAGCCTCAGGGTGCCGCTCCACTACCTCAACGGCAGCCTCCTCCATCTCAGTGGCCGCCGCCTCTTTTGTACTTTTCACTTCACCCTCGCCGTGCTCCTGCTTCGGCTTGGGCAGCCTTCCGCGCCGTTTCTTCGGTGGCCGCCCACGCTTGCGCTTTTCTGGCGGCGCGCCTTGCTGTTGTTGCTGTGTTTCAGATGGTGCTGCCGCCTCCGCCTCTGCCTCCGCCTCCGCGTTTACCTCTGTTTGAGCTTCTGTGCCTTCTGCCGATAGCAGCTTGTGCTTTGGTGGCCGGCCGCGCTTGCGCTTCACGTCATCAGCTGCTAACAGCATCTTGGGCTTGGCTGGTCGACCACGCTTGCGCTTCACAAGCAGGAGCGCACCTTCCAGCGCCTTATCCTTGGGTGGCCGGCCGCGCTTGCGTTTCACGCTGGCGCCATTATCAGCTGCTAGCGACGTCTTGGGCTTGCGCGGCCGGCCACGCTTGCGCTTCGCCAGCGGTCCGTCGTACCGGGGCGTACCATTAGCAGACGCGAGGAGAGCCGCCGCTGCCTCGAGATCCGCTGCTTCCGCGCCTTCGTACCCCGCATCGCCCTTGTCGTAGCCTGACGCTGCCGCAGCCAAATGGGAGCCTTCGCCTTCTGAGCCGTGGGATTCGTTGCTTACTAAATCGGCGCCAGCTGCAACAGGGTGCGTGGCAAACCCGATATTGTGCAGCTCTCTGTGCCGTCGTTGACGCTTCGCTGAGCCTGTACGGCATGCGGGTTTAGCCATCGACGTTGTGTCACGTTGGTTGTCTTTCGACAGGGATGTATTAAATTGTGTTGTTATGTGCTACATTCAAAGATATGAAGGCAGCATGTATGATATGAAGGCGGCATGCGCCGTGAGAGCGATGTAACTGCTGCGCCGCGCTGCATGTGCAGGGCGTGAGACGGGAGGCCTTTCAAGCCACTCAAGTTATTGTTTCCCCCAAATTAGTAGGATGGGGAAGCAGGACAGATATTTTAGGTTTATGGATTAGTGAGAATTTTCTAGTTCCGTCAGGAGCGGTCGAAGGTGTTCGTATCAGCGACGAGAGAGGGGGAGAGAGAGATAATGCTTTGGCAAAGCATCCGCTCATCCGAGCAGATGACCGGCAATATGACCTGCGGAAAGAGCCCTTGGCAATAAGGCGGTACAGCAGTACAATAATGGAGCAGGGATGCCTTAAAACAGTCCGGCGAAGCCTTGCACGGCACATAGTCGTACGGATCCTAGATCTGAATACTTGGTAACGAACGCAAACATCTTACGAAAGCTTTGTTCCCTTGCAAGCATTGCATAGTCAGAACTCAGACGTCGGCAGATCGAAACCGTCTGTGACATTTCGGTTGTACGATGTCTGTACTGGGGCACAGGTCGTACGAATTCCCACGCAAAGTACATTAACCGTTGTCACAGAAAAGTCTGCCGTCTTCATCTGCTCTTTTTCGTGTTTTGCGACATGGACGGCTTTTATTTTGTGTCGCCACGTGCGAGGAGTTTACATTGGGGAAGCAAGAATCCGTGTGGGACGCGACGCGGTGCTTCCGTACATATCCGAGGTTTTTTAATGCTGCGCTTTCCGCAAAAAAATGATACCGTTTAACGCAGCCCTGCGGCGTTCCTGCACCCTAAACAACCCGATCTGCCTCTACCCGTACCCAGACCCTACTTCCATAAATTTGAATTCCCAAGCTTTTGCCAAGCCCCTAACCCTTTGCCCAGCCATGGCCGCGGTCGTACATGACATCATCGTACATTGCAGTGAGGCCGCTGCCGGCTCGACGACACCGTACGGCTCGGCTTTGACCTCTATAACAAATGACATAATTGCGTCAGCGATGGCATCTCCGTTTGGGCTGCCCCATATCATGGGTTACCGGGTGTGATCATCTCTTAAATCTCCGTATGGCGACCTGGGTTAAACCATGCGGGTACGAACCTCCATCGCCCTCTCCCGCCCGCCCGCAAGCAAAACACATCCGGAAACCCCCCAACGAAAGCAAAACGGCACTTCTGGTCTTTTGAAAAGGCTGCCGCTGGGCTGCTGCATTCGAAGAGAAACATCGTCGATGCAGTTTGGGGCCCAAGCACTTAAGTGGTATCCTAACTGGATCACTTACAAGGAAAAAAAGAGAGTGAGATCCCAATTCACGTGCTGGACGCACTCTCGCTCATCGGCGATGCGCCCTGCACGTGGTATAGGTGCACATACTATATTTTTTCTAATCGGCGTGTACTCAAGCGCGCGAACACGTGGTCATGTATGATTGCCAGTCTGAGGCATCGAAAAGATAGTGCAGCTGCGCGAACAAGAACCGATTATTAGGGTCAACTTAGAAGCTCCGTTTTGCACAAGAACGCACAGTATCACACGCGCTGCCCAGATTTTCTATACGCCGGCGATATTTTCCTATGAATAATTTTCGCAAGAGCACAAGTAATTGTCGACCGTAGCGGCGGCATGGCCGCCACTGACACATGGAATTACACGGTAAGAAAACACGCACACACATTGCCCACCTGGGTGCTCTGGGGACACCCCTGGGCCTTGATAAGTTGGTGACGCCGCCTGTCAACAAATGTGGGTAAGGGTTTAGTAACATTTCTCGGGAGTCGGGTGGAAGGGAGTGGAGCCATGGGAAGCCACTGGCGGGTGCAGCAGGCTAAAAAATTACGTGCCTACGCTGTAAAAATCGGTTAGCTGCTTACCCCTAAAAATGACTTTAGATGACAATAGCAAACACCTCCTTTTAGCATACAAATTAGTTCGCAATTTAGGTAACGAGTCCTGAGAGCCCAGGAGGCTATTCGTTCAGGGAATAAGGGAGACCAGCGGCGAACATCAGCAAGCGCACCAGCGGGAAACGGTGTCGAAAGGCATTGCTGAAAGGGTGGAAGCCCTCGGGCTGGACACTTAGGCCCCGGTTCATACGCACCTCGTTGCCTGCTGCGTCCGGACTTTGCGCGGCGACCTCGCAATGGCTCATTCCGTCGACCTGCAGCGTCAACCAGAGAGGACGCGGTGACGGTCAGGCAGGAAAGAGCTAACCATAAATAAATTACTACTATTTTTGTGATGAGGATTAAAGGGCAAGGGCGCATGTATACCCTTCAGACAGAAGTTAGCGAAAAAACTACAAAGGCGCGCACCATCATTTTTACGCAACGACGGCCTCAGGTGCCAACTTTGTATCCTAAAATGGGCAGGCAAGCTTTGAAATACGCGCATCATGTGGAGCTATGCCCGATACAAGCAGCATGGAGCACCAGCGAGGTCCTTGATTACACAATTCCTCCAGCCGGTGCTAATAATGTGACTTGAATTAACATGAGACTAAAGTTGCTGTACATCGCAGTCAGCATGATGGAGGCTGTTCTCCTGGTCAAACACAAGACATTAATGGCACTTACCTGGTACAACCTCAGGGAAGCTCCAGAAAGGTTGTAAGAATTTGCTGCTGCTGCTGCTGCATCAGCTATAATTTATAAAAATATATAGATGTCCGCTAGGGCCCCTATGAGGCGGAGGGAGCCCTTTTGACACAAACGGGATCCTCGCCCGGTAGCAATCAGATGGCATTCATAAACGCCCAGCATTATACAAAGCCTTACGCAGCCACGTGCACTTTACAGGTAATGACATCGAAAATATTTTTTGTTGGTTTCGGTGCAAATGTGACTGGCTTCATCTGAATTAATTTCTTAGCAGCACACATCCTTGCTTGGGTTATCAAATGTTATTTTGGGCTGAGCTGAAGGCAACCAGCACAATCTGAGGAAGGTTGTACCTGCCATGGGGCCCTATGTCTCATAGTACTCCAGGCTCCACGGCAGCCGTGCACTATAAAGTGCCGGACAGCTGCTGTTGCTATTTTTGACAGTGATTATTAGACTACGTGAAGAACGTAAGGCTAACCTTGATGATGATGTACAAGCCTCAGCGAGCTCGTACGATTCAAACGAACTCGAAGGCTCATGAACAGCGTAAAACTGGCAAAGAAGATTAAGAGAATACCTAGGTTGCCCGGGCGCGGGGAAAGGGCCGGCCGCGGTCTTTGTCGCGGCGGCGGCTGTTGGATCGGTACAGCGAGTCGGGGAGCGGGCGGGGGAGCGGCTTGCGGTTCGAGAGGTGGTGGCGGGGCGGGAGGATGAGCGGTTGGGAGGGCGGGTCCACGAAAGGGCACCACTGCTGAGCTCTCTGGTCCAGACTCATCTGGACAAGAGAGCTTGTCGTGGACCTCAGCGCCGCACTACAGGCACCGTCCGGCATCCTGACGTTGTTGGCGGAGGGAGGCTGGGACATTGATCGCGCAAGTGCCCCGGGGTAGGCGGACCAGGATGGCGGTGTCCATCAGGTCGTCCCGGCGGTGCTCGTGGTGTCGTGGAAGTTGGAAGTCTGCACGGCCCAGGCGATGGGCGGCGTCTCGCCCCGTCGTAGTGGTGATCGCCAAGTCCATCATGTCCTGAAGCTTGACCCGCTGGGGCCGTCGCAGCGCAAGTGTGAGAAGAGTTCCTCCCACAGGTTGCCCTGTAATCCCAGGGCAAAGAAGAGGACATGGTCGATCTGGTGACAGCCAGGGGACGCCCGCCACTAGACGTCTGAAATCGGCGATGTAGTGCTGCAGGGCGTGTGGCCCTGAACCCTGCATCAAGGCGAACAGGGCGAGCTGAGCATCTAGTGGACGGTTCATGACCGGGGCCAGGGAGTTGAGGGTCCTCCTACCTCCCTTATGTGACACGTCACCCATCGCTTCTCCAGCCCGACCCCCCTCACATACCCAACCGCCAATCAGCCTCCGCCATCCCGTTCCGACATCGCCAGTCTCATCGCACCCTTCTCTCCCTCGGCCCCAGCCCCACAACCCTCCACAGCTTCCACCCCTCCGCCTCTCTTTACCCTGCAGCCACCCATCACTACACCCGCCTCCGCCTTCCCGTGTCGCTTCCCCTTCACTTCCCCCTTCGCCTCACCACCATTTCCTCCATCACCACTCTACCAGCACCTCCCCCTCCCCAACCCCTTCCTCGTCCAGCACTCAGGCAGCACCACTGTCTTCATCACCCATCGTTACCACCGGTCGACGAAAGCTCACCCACCTCACAGGTTCCCATACCCCCTATTCTCGGCCGCCTGACAGCCGCCGATCTCTCCTCCACACTCATCGTCTTCAACACCAACATTGCCGGCCACCCTGCCTGAGTCCTCCTCGACTCCGGCGCCTCGCGCAACTTCATAGCCAGCGAATTCATCAACCGCTTCCATCTTTGTCCCGCCGAGTTCGGTGTAAGTACGGTCTGTACGAATGGCTTATGTTCTCCCCTTCAGCCTTTCCGGAGCCTTCATGCCCCTGATGAATGAGGTCCTCCGCCCCTTCCGCAACAAGTGCGCGGTCATGACGCGGTCACGACGTCCTCATCTACTTCCGCACCTTCGAAGACCATTGCCGCGACGTGGAAGCCGTCCTTCGCACCCTTCAGAACCTCCACCTCCACGTCCGCCTCACCAAGTGTTGTTGTTCGCACAACCATCCACCAAGTTCTGCGGGTTCATCACCTTCCGCAACGGCATCACGACAGACCATGACAAGCTCACCTCCCTTTCACCGACTTCCCCATTCCCCACCTCCATCACCGATGTTCGCGCCTTCCTGGGTTTCACAGGTTTTTACTGTCGCTTCATCAAGGACTATGCTCGCATCACCCAACCCCTTACCACGCTCACCAAAACGGCCCCAGCCGTTCGCCAA